ACGTGAAACTTAACTATGTTGGGGCGGAATATGAGCCAGAAGATGAGGGCAGCCAGACCCAAGATGATGACAGCGGTGACTATGAGCTTGATAAGGAAGCTCAGGAGGCAGCAGCAGCCACAGCCAGAACCATGGCCGTGGCGGTGGTAGGCTCCGTTCAAGTGGGAATGTTTCTCTGCCATGGAATAACACAAGAAGATATACTCTGTTTTCAGAGGAGATGAATTGGAAGAGAAAACAAGGGAATGTATTTATAGGGAGAAAAATTAGAGTGGGAAAACGAATATGAATCGAGGATGCTACACGGTGGTAAGATAATGCACGCGTCAACAGACGCGGTTTAATTCGTCGAACGTGGGCGGACGAGTTTAAAAGTGGTTACGATTTTTGGGCTTAAATTATTAAATAGGTGCAATCTGGAGTGGTGCATGGAACCTTCCTAATCCTACATAATTTGGGCTCTTATGTGTTATTTTACATTAAGATATTGACCATGGGTTCGTTGCTAGAGAAAAATGTCAAGGAAAATTGTAATGGTTTGGTTCTACATCCAATTTGACAATGATGTGAAGGGATTATTATTCAACGATTGTTGTTTTTTGTGGCTTATCATGTTACCATCATGTTTGAAAGGAGTATTACTTTTTAGAAACTCAGATGGTTAGATCTATGGGTAGATATGTGTTGTCTCATAAATTAAGTTTGGAATTTAAGTTTAAAAATTAACATTCAAAAAAATTAGTTTCTTTAAATGTAAAGGTTTATTCTTTGAAAAAAATTAATTTCAAAATGCATAAAAATTGAATTGTAAAGCTTTAGAACTTGCATGGCAGAAGAATTATAGCAAGGTAATGATAGAGTCTGATTCATTGTTGGCAGTGTGAAAGCTCATTCTTGGTGCAACTCACCTCGAGCCATATGGAAATCTAATTAGCAAGTCTCAAGCTTTTATTAAGAAGAATTGGCAATGTAAACTTCCACATGTTTTTCGAGAAACCAATACATGTGTGGATACTATGATTTCAAAATTTTATCACTTAGGCTTGGGTTGGCATTATTTTGAAAAATCTCCAAATAAAGTGAGGGAAAAAATGACAAAAAATCTTTTATGTGTTTGTAGATCTCGAGTCTCTAAATTAATCAATATATGAATACATTATCCTTACGTATAAAAAAAAAAAAAAGGAATTGTAACCTTGTTAATCCTACATAATTTAGGAATTATTATGTTCTTTTTTTTCTTTTTCTTTCACTTCAAGATGTTGACTATGAGTAGGGATGTTAACAAGGCCTTGTGGGCCGGGGAGTCCATCCTCGACCTCATGAGGATTTTTGATGTGAGGTAAATTTTACCTTCCATCCCCATTTCTCACAGGGAGTGAGAATCCTGCGGAAATCTCCATTCCCCACCCATTAGTATCTAATTATATATCTTTTACACGCCTGCATTAAGACCAGCAACAAACCTTCTAAAAAGTTTATAATTTGAATAAAAAAGATTGAAAAAGACTCATAGTATGATGGAAAACTTAAAAAAAAAAAAAAAAGATTAACGAAACCAATTCCTAAAGTCAAAAACTGAAATGAAGAGTCTTCTGCCTGAATGATGAATTCTGCTCTAAAGCACCAAACTTTAACAATTAACAAAATTTACACATTCATATTAATAGTAATATATAAACAATCTCGTATGAATGTACTGTAAACTTACGTCCCTCCAACGCCTCCAGTAGTCTCTGAAGATATGATCCAGAAAGGAAGCTCGCAAACTGCAACTGAAGCTCCAAAATTGGCTGCGAAACGAGAGGCACGGACACCACCGCTACCAGCATTGATGGTGAAGAGATCAAAGTCATAGTGCCGCAGTGGCTAAGCGACATTTTCAGACTTGACACAAGTGACGAAATGTTGGCGGCGCTGATGCTGATGGAGGTGAGAATCAGAGATTGATCTGAAGGGATTGTGGAAGAGAAACTTTAGGGTTCGGGAAATGAAACTGAGATAGGGAGACTTCTGCAGAGTGTTTGGATGGTGGGAGAAGAGAGCTTCGGGGTGGTGAGAGAAGTTGTGGTTAAAAAGGGGAGGGGAAGCTAGAAGGCGAGAGTGAGCCGTAGAAGAAGGGGAGGGGAAGTTTATCCGTAGAACTGCAGAACAGAAGGTGAGACTGTGAGAGTGACTGAGTGATGAGAAAGGTTAGGGTTAAATGGTTAATAATGGGTTGGGCTAGGTTGGATTGAATTGGGTAAAATTGAGTTCAATTTAATTTTAATTAGATTGGGTTTGAGTTTGGGTTTGAGTTTGAAGGTTAAATTAAATTTAAAAATAAAATAAATTTAAATATTTTTAAAATTTTTGTGGGGGCGAGATCCCCACAGGGCCTCACAGGGTGGGAAAATTCCTCGTGAAATTTTTCAAGGAGAAAATGTCCCTTATCCCCACCATGTCCTCATGACAAGGATCCTCGCACGGCCAGACATAGATCGAGGGAAATTGCCATCCCTAACTATGGGTTTGTTGCAAGAGGAAAATGCTAAAGAAATTGTATTGTTTTGGTCCTAACTTATCCAATTGGATGATGATATGAAGGAATTATTTCACAATTGATGTTTTTGGTGGCTTATAATGTTACCATCTTGTTTGAGAATATTATTATTTGTAGAAACCTCGAGGGTTGCATCTACAAGTAGATATATGTTGTCTCATCTACAAATTTCAAGTTTTAAAGTTAACACTCTAAATGTGGAAATGCACTGTTAAGATTTGTCAGGAAGGAATTAGTCTCAA